ACAAGTGAATGTAATTTAAAGGTCTCCAATCTTTCTTCACAAGGAAGATTTCTAATGCGATGTATTAATTTACGCTTTCTACGCTGAATGTTTTCTAACGAATTTATGTCCAATCTGTAATATGGAGACCAGAACTCAGCTGCATAATCTAGGTGAAACCTTACTAATGATTTATAAAGCTGTAATATAACCACTGAACTTCTGTTGCTTACACTTCTTGATATAAATCCCAGTGATCTGTTTGCCTTATGTATGCTTAGGCATTGCTGTCCTGGTTTAAAGTTACTGCTTATCATAACCCCCAAGTCCTTTTCGCAATCTGTATGGCTAGGTTCTACATTATTGAACTGATAAGTGCTAGGGTTATGGACACTCCCGAGCTTCAGAACCTTGCATTTATCCACACTGAACTGCATCTGCCACTTTTCTGACCAAGAACTGAGTTTGTCTAAATCCTCCTGAAGTTCCCTGTTGGAATCAATAATCCTATCTTTGTGTCATCGGCGAATTTGCTCATTTCACTAGTAATTTCCCTCATCAAGATCATTGATATATATTATAAACAACAACGGGTCTAAGACTGATCCCTGTGGAACGCCACTTGTTACAGATCCCTACTACGATTTAACCCCATTTATGCACACTCTCTGCTTCCTGTCTGTGAGCCATGACTCGATCCATGAGAGCACTTTTCCCCCAATGCCATGAGCTGCCACTTTAACAGTCTTTGGTACGGTACTCTATCAAAAGCCTTACTAAAATCTAGGTAAACAATATCAAATTCTTTATCGTGATCAACAGCCTCAAAAGATTTACTGAAGAAAGTTAATAAATTAGTTAGACAAGAACGGCCTCTCGTGAATCCATGCTGAGCATCATTAATCAGATTATGCTTATCCTGATGGCTTATAATCTCGGCTATTATTGCCTCTAGTAATTTGCTTACAATTGGGGCCAGACTTATTGGGCGGTAATTTGACGGTAAGGACTTGTCCCCTGCTTTGAAAATAGGAATTACATTAGCTATCTTCCACATATCAGACACTACACCTGTTTGAAGAGATAAATTAAAAATATTAGTTAACGGTTCACAAAGTTCCATTTTGCATTCCTAAAGAACCTTTGAAAAAAGCTCATCAGGACCCGGCAATTTATTTTGTTTCAGTCAGTCTATTTGTTTCATAACCATTTCACTAGTGACTGTGATGTTACATAATTTATCTTCTTCAGGTCCACTATAAAAATTATTTACTGGGATATTATTAGTGTCTTCCTGTGTAAAAACCGGGAGAAAGTAATTATTTAAAATCGAGCACATTTCATTCTCTTTGTCAGTAAGATGCCCCAAATTATTTTTAAGGGGACCTATCTTATCCCTAACTTTTGTTCTATACACCTGGAAAAAACTTTTTGGGTTTGTTTTTGAATCCCTAGCAACTTTAATTTCGTACTCCCGTTTAGCCTTTATTATCCCCTTTTTAACATCCCTCTGAATGTCAATGTACTGATTCATAAGATGACCCTCACCTCTTTTGATACGTCTAAAAATTCCTTTCTTCTGCCCTAAAAGATATTTGAGCCTATTATTCATCCATTTTGGGTCATTTCTATTCGATCTAATTTCCTTATATGGGATAAATGTTCTTTGGGCACCATGTACTGTAAAGTAAAAAGGACACAAGTGCAACTAATGTGACATTTTATTGTGGCAACGTTTCGCTCTCCAGGAGCTTTGTCAAGCCGTTGTTAAGGTTTGACAAAGCTCCTGGAGAGCGAAACGTTGCCACAATAAAATATCACATTAGTTGCACTTGTGTCCTTTTACTTTACACATTGTCGATAATTCTACCAACTCTATTACACCATGTACTGTGTTAAGAAAGCCGTCATACCGATAGCTCTCTTCGTTACCCCAGTCCACAGGTAAGTGTTCTCTAAGCCCACTGTAATCTGCTAAGCGAAAATCTGGGACCATTACTGAATTATCCCTACTGTCATACTTCCATTCAATGCTAAAGGTAATTGATTTGTGGTCGCTTGTGCCGAGTTCCCTGTAATTTCTAAATTTTTTACAAGGTTCTCTTTGTTTGCCAAAAACCGAGTCAAGCAGGTTATTTCCCCTTGTAGGTTCTGTCACAAACTGCTTCAAAAAACAATCCTGAACTACTTCTAAAAAGTCGTTAGATTCTAATTAGATTCCCAGTCAAAAAATTCCAATCAACCAACCAATCTGACTAAAATTAGTCCCCTAGAATTACTAGATTTTCGAGCCTTGTGGCCATAACAATTTCCTCCCATAGTCTCCCTTGGTCCCTATTTAAGTTTGGAGGACGGTATATTACGCCTAAAATCAATTTCTCATACCCCTCAGAAAATTCTTTCCAGACAGACTCTGTATGTGTTATTTCAGACTTTATACCTGTTTTTATGCAACAATTTAAACGATCTCGGTCATAGAGTGCCACCCCACCCCCTTTACCGATACTTGTATCTACTTGAAACAATTTAAAACCCTGAATATGACATTCAGCAGGCATGTTCCAATTTTATACATTAAACCACGTCTCAGTTATTGCAAAAACATCAATGTTACCCGCACTTGCAACTAATCTCAATTTGTCCATCTTATTTCTCGCACTACGTGTATTAGAATCAAATATCTTCAGAAAACCTCCCTTCTCTTTTCTCTTCCTGCTGATTTCTGTTCCTCTACTATACCTATTACTGTCCTTGTCACCTAGTGCCACTGGGTTTCCAATATTCTCCAATAACTCTGCCTCATTCTGCCTATTAATGGTTTCCCTAAAACTCACACTATCGCTACACTGAGAATTCATCGATTTTCCACAAAAACCCATACCACTATCTATTTCTAGTTTAAAGACCTAAGAGCTCCCTCCACTGCATTGGCCAGTGCTCCCACCCCAAACCTAGACAAGTGAACCCCATCCCTGGCATACATGTCATTTCTACCATAGAAGAGGTCCCAGTTGTCTATGAATGTTACTGAATTTTCCTAACAGTGTTTGTCCAGCCAGCAATTGACACCAATTGCCCTGGACAACCATTCATTTCCAACTCCTCTCCTGGGCAAAATGCCACATATCACAGGGTTCCCACCCTTCCTCCTAATAATCTCTATTGCTGTCCTATACCTGCTAATCAGGTCTTCACTCCTACGTCTGCCAACATCGTTGCCTCCCGCACTGAGGCAGATAATAGGATTGCTCCCATTACCTTTCATGATATCGTCTAGACGGCTAACAGTAATCCTCATCCCAGCCCCAGGAAAACATACCTTCTGCCTCCTCCTCCTGTTCCTAAGACAAAAAGCCCTATCCATAAATTTAACCCAACTGTCCCCAACTAAAACAATGTTCATACCTTCACTGGCGGAATTCGTCGTGACGTTCTCGATAGTGTTCGTTGAGGTTTCAAGGGATGTTGACTCTCTCTCATCCACCAATGCTTCCCTGGAGCTCAATGTGACGCTCCCAGCAGACAACCCACATTCGTAAGGTAGCACCGAAAATGGGTTGGAAGTTTCCACAGTAGTCTTCTGGTTCTTCATTGTTTCAGCCACTCCAACAGTCTTCTTGATCCTCAGCTTCGTTCCATGTTGCCCGGCCACTGACCAGGTTCCCCTCTTGACCTGAGGACTTACAACAGGAGGATTACTACGAATCCTCTTGTTTCCCTCCGTCAATCGCCGTATCTCGAGCTTAGCAACCCTAAGCTCCTCTTTTAGCTGCTGGCAGAGTTGCTCAAGAGAGGACATCTTGGTTCGGATTCACAGAGCACACAAGACAATTCTCAGAGCTAAGTACAGGTCACCATGATAATATATACCTGGAAAGTACTCGAGGGCCTGGTCCCAACTCCGCACACTGCCCTAACAACATACAGAAGTGAGAGATATGGGAGGAAGTGCAAAATAAACCCAATGAAGAGCAGGGGTGCAGTAAGCATAAGGGAACACTATCAACATTCGTAGCCTGAGACTATTCAACATCAGAAGATATCTGAAACACGATTGGAACAAGTGAAGAAGCCTTCAAGAAGAAAGTGGACAAGTATCTTCACCCAGTGCCAGATCAACCAGGTTGTGATAGATACGTGGGGCTGTTGTTGCCTCCAGCAGCAACAGCCTAGTTGACCAGGCAAACACCAGACGAGCCTGGCCCATGGCCAGGCCCCGAGAGTAGCAAGACTCTCGAAACTCATCAAGGGTAAAGACCAGCAAGATGACGCTCCTGTTGCTGCCGCAGACACCGTCACCGCTGCCACCAGCTATACACCACTTCACCTATATCACCTAACGTTCAATGGTCGTGGAGACCAGGAATCAGTAAAGCTGGTTGATAATAGTTAAAAGGCAAGGCCTGGAGCTATGAATCGACCCCTACAAGCACAACTAGGCAAGTATAACAAAAACTCGTTCACAAAGAAGATTTGAACCTAAAGCGAACAGCGTTGTGTAGAGGTGTACTGGCATAATTACGTTCGCAATGGAATAAAGATACTTAACTATTACACGTGTCTTACTAATCGGCTTGTCGGTATTGCATATCATTATCATGCTCAGGTCTACATGAGGAACACTGTAGACACCAGTTATCTCACAACTTTTCCCCAACCTGACTCACGAAATCGTAATGACACGATTGCAAACAAACCATACCCCGGCCGGGATTGGTACCTAGTTGGACGAATCTTATTGTGGCTAGCTGGTCTAGTGGCTAACGCGACGGTCTGGAGTTTTGACACACACTGACCGCGGGTTCAATCCCGGCCGGGGTATGGTTTCCCCAACCTCTTCGACATATACCCCAATACACACACACACAAAGTTCCTCATGATTAAAACATATGCTGGCTGCTTTGTATGAGACAAACAAAGGTGTTGAATGTGACTGAAGTGGATACACACTTTCCAGTCCTGCATCTTAGAAAATAGTAGTCTATAGATATATATCTAACAGAGAAGGATTAGTACTCACTACACAGGAGATGCCGTACTTGTGGCCCTGAAACTCTGCCACCTGGGTCCTGTCGGAGATGTCCCACACCCTGACGGAGGGTTGGTGGCCACACTCGCCGGTGGCCAGGTAGCGACCACATGGAGAGTACGCCACACAGGTGATCGTCTTACGTGAGGCATTCTGCAGGTGCTGCTGTCGGTTCTTGCGTGAGTTAAGTAACACTACGGTACATCTGCAACAGAAATACAACTAGTACACTCACAGTAATTACTATTACATATAATTACTACTACCCATACATTAACCTACCTTCAGTAAGCACATTCTCCTTAATGTAACAAAAAGACAAAAGACTAACAGAAGCATTTCTTAAAGCGAAGTATATTTTAGCACATAATCGTTAAACGCGCGTGAATGTGGTTGTAGCGAGCTATTAAGTGCAGTAGTTGAACCAAATAATGGAATCGCGGATTCAAACCTCTCTGGTGTGTAAGTTTACTTGAGATGAGATTGGGAATCATGGCCCCCGCGACCCGGCATCAGTCTAGTCATTATGTTTGTCCGTCTAATCAGTAAGGTTGTTGATACGGTACGTATTCCAACGTATGCACAACAGTCTGACTTATGATTACCTGTGACTTATTTTGAGGGTTCATCTACCCTACAAGCCCGGCCTTTGGCCAAGCTTCCTTGTTGAGTGCCTGTTCAACCAGGCTGTTGCTGTCAGTGGCCCGCTGGCCTACATAACCATCACAGCTTAGTTGATCGGCACTTGGTGGGGGTAGCGATCCAGTTTCTTTTAGAAAACTTTTATATTTTTCCCATGAGAAACACTTTCAGAGGTAGGTACACTGGGTCCTTGGTGGTTGGAATCACTAAAATAGGTCTATTGCAGTTAAAGATGCGAGACCAGAAGCTACGAATTGACCCCAGCAAAGACAAGTAGGCGAGTAAACTGTAAGAGAATAATCATGACATACACATGGTGAACACAAGTGCTAGATCTGGAGCACACACTAGCTACACACAATACAAGAGAGCGGTTATCAAGATACCAGCTGAGGGATTGATCTCAAATCTGCACACACAAATCACTCCCTATAAGTGCAAAAGTCTCGACAGATGGTGCAAAATACCAATGAAAACCAGGGATGCAATGGGTACGCCAATAGATAACACGGTAAGTATAAAGGGACCAAGATATTTCGACACCCTCTCCTCGTACGTAAGAGGAATTACCAACAGACCAGTGGCGTCGTACGGGGGGTGGGGCGCCCCGGGTGACACCATTTAGGGGGTGACACCATAGAGCCTCTAAAGGTGACACTAATGCCCAAAATAGTGCTGCACCAACATAAGAGAAGAATCCTTCGTTTCTATATAGCTTATATAGGCTTATAATAGGGAAAATCATTGATTTTCATGATGTGATAATGATTTTGCAGGACTGAAGGCAAGAAAATGTAAGATCAGATTCACTGAGATGTTACCTGTACTCAAGGTCAAATCGGAACTAGTGTTTCTCTGATATTGCAATGTTTTTCTTTATTTTTCAAGTTTCATTTTGTTTTGTTTTTGCATTGTTGAAGGTGAATAAATGTAGGATGTGTTGGCTGTACTCAAAGTGGTGTTTGAGTTTATGTTTATTCAGTATTACTACGATTATTTATCATTAATAAAGTTGAGAAGTATTCTCCTGCTCAGTTTATGGTCCTTAAACGTTCTCATTGTTAAACATTTGTCAGTGTTCATGCAGTAGTGACGTAACTGGTGTTTACTACCCGTCAGTGTTCATGCAGTAGTGACGTAACTGGTGTTTACTACCCGTCAGTGTTCATGCAGTAGTGACGTAACTGGTGTTTACTACCCGTCAGTGTTCATGCAGTAGTGACGTAACTGGTGTTTACTACCCGTCAGTGTTCATGCAGTAGTGACGTAACTGGTGTTTACTACCCCCCATCCCCCCGACCTTGGATTTCATGGAGGTGACGCCAAAAATGCTACCCCTGGTGTCACCCAAGATTCCACCCCGGGTGACACCTGACCAGCCGGCCTGTGGCTCGTACGTTGGATTGCGTGCAGCCAGCAGCAACAGCCTGGTTGATCAGTCTCTGATCCACCAGGAGGCCTGGTCACAGACCGGGCCGCGGGGGCGTTGACTCCCGGAACTCTCTCCAGGTAAACTCCAAGTAAACACCAACCCTAGCGGCGCCTCTGCAACAGACCCTTAGTTGTCTTTCTCAAATCAGTTCCTGATCAGCCGAGTTGTATTGCCTATGTTGAACTGCATGCGGTAACACCAACAGCTTGGTTAATCAGGTAATAACCAGGTCTGGTCTAGGACCGAGCCGCGGGGACAGTAATTCCCGAAATCGTCTTCTGGTAATCTCCAAGGAAGAACCCAGATGCCAAAAATGAGGCTGCACAAGAACACCAAAGGTAAAACGTTTTCACAAGTGAGCGAGCTCAGGTGATAATGGTGAGTATGGTGAATGACGGTAGTGGTGGTAATGGTGGATGATTGTGGTGTGGTAGTGACGGTGTGGTAGTAGTGTAGTGGTGATGGTGGTTAGTTGTAGTTGTGGTGAGCAGTACTGGTGGTGGTTCATGAGTGATTCATTTTATAAGAAAATATCCTGGTCTGTTAGGATAATATTACAATTTCACTGTGAGTTTGGACTTGGTTCATGCTCAAGTTATCACTGTGTTGGTTTCTTCTCACTGGCTCTCTGGTAATTAATATTAGCTCTTGCTTTATCTTTTTGTGTAAACTATTCTTGATAGCCAAGTCTTGGAACTGTGCGTTGATGATGCAAGTATTGTACTGTGTGTCGTGGAAAGCACAGTGCCAGGGCCGGCAGAAACTTCCCGAGACTACACTGCTCATCATCGGCTCTCAATGGTGACTGAAAAAAATTAATGGTGAAGAGCGAATATTATAATGATTACCTTTAATAAAAATATACACTATTTTAAATTTAATGAAGGGGAACTAAATCTTTTATTTTTTTTTTTTTTTTCAAAAAATGTGAGAACCATGGTCCCAATTCTTCAGTATAAGAATACGCTGGTACAAAGAAAAAAAAATCATGGGAGAAACAATAGAAGTTTCTACAAGAGGTGTTTGTTTATAATGGTTGTCATGTTGATGTGAACCTGCAGGCTGACTGATCAGGCTGCTACCCAGGATGTACAACCACAGGCTCAGTAGCGTGACTAGAAAAAACTATCTAAACCGGACACAGGTATGTTGCGTCTCGAGCAAGTACAGTGACCAACGGACGTAAAGACTCAGCAAACCAACTTCACGAGCTTCCTCGACATGAGTATAACTAAACATGCTACTATGATGGTGAAAATTACATACATAAATCTATGGCACTCTGTGGCACCATTACCTTTCCTCACAAAAGTGTGAACCTTACAAAGGAACAAGCAAGTAAGTTACAAATCACTATTAAATCTGATTAAACCTCGCCATCACTAACTCCACTTACCGGAAGCCATAAACTTAATGAAGATTGAGACACTTATGCAACATATTGGAATATTTATTTAGGAAACGTTTCGCCACACAGTGGCTTCATCAGTCCAACACAAAGCAGAAAGGTGTGAGGAGAGGAGTTTGAGGTAATCAGTCCCTCAGCCTGGAGTCGATGTATTCAGTCCATCAATCTTGTAGAGTGTACAGCATATGACCGTAGACGTGGCTTATATACTGTAGTCAGGTGAGGTGAAGCAGGAGGAGGCGGGGTCAAAGTGGCACCATCCACTAGTCGAAGTAGGTCTTCGTCCAAAGGTTGAACAAGTTTGAAGAATTCTTTGTATCAAGATCCCATGATGTTGCAGTGTCTGACAGTTGTGATGAATGGTTTTGAAAACCAACAAGTTGAAGATTGAGACACTTATGCAACATATGGGAATCTTTATTTAGGAAACGTTTCGTCACACAGTGGCTTCATCAGTCCAACACAATGAATTCTTCAAACTTGTTCAACCTTTGGACGAAGACCTACTTCGACTAGTGGATGGTACCACTTTGACCCCGCCTCCGCCTGTTTCACCTCACCTGACTACAGTATATAAGCCACGTCTACGGTCATATGCTGTACACTCTACAAGATTGATGGACTGAATACATCGACTCCAGGCTGAGGGGCTGATTACCTCAAACTCCTCTCCTCACACCTTTCTGCTTTGTGTTGGACTGATGAAGCCAGTGTGTGGCGAAACGTTTCCTAAATAAATATTCCCATATGTTACATAAGTGTCTCAATCTTCAACTTGTCGGTTTTCAAAACCATTCATCACACATAAACTTAATCTAAGGGGCACAAAAGACACGCTCCGCCTTTGTTCTCCCTGCAACTTAATTAAAACTCCTGGTAACAATAAATTTAATAAAAATAATAATGAACTTCATGCATCAAGGAGCGTAGATGATGTCAGGCACGGCTGAGGTGTAATTCCATCATCAACATTACATATTACAAGGAGTCACTCCTTGGAACGGGTGACACCCCCCCCCCACCACCACCTCCTCCAAAGTCATATTTCAAGACAAGAGTGATACTTGAATAAGAATACAGACCTAAGTATGGATAATGATGATGATGGTGAGGATAAATGAACCAGACGAGTATGGTGGCAAATAAAAACTGGCGACGTATATACAGAAAGTAAATATACAAAGCAATATAAAATAGATGCGGGAAGGCTCGGAAGAGATAAACACACGTAGTCATGGTGTTAATGAGTGTCAGTGGTGAAGGTTATATCTACATACCCTCACTCATAAATGGTGTTGTCTTAAACATAAATACTGTCTCACACTTTATACCAGCACCAGCACTTGTTTCAGCCTCCCTCTACCCACTGCCACGTCATCCATCTTATGATTATTATCATTAACATCAATATAATAACAATTGTAAGCACGTTAAAACATCAATGTTTTTCCATCAGCCGTGAAGGCAATCATTAGCAGGAAGACTATCATCAGTGTCAAGGTGTTGGGTGCATTATCAGTAACGGCAGTCATCACCCAGGGGGGAAACTACTCAGTAATGACGAAATGTTTGGTGATCACAAACACACCTGTGTGTGTGTCACCACATACCACAGCTCCAAACACACAGGAATCATGACGTGTGTGAGGCACAATACTTAAAATACCCAACACCAAATACTAAGGTGAAGGCACTCAAAAACTAGGCTGCTTCTATGTTTTAA